AGGACTGTTTCAGTCTTTACTGCTTTTTGAATTAAACCCAATACAGAGCCAATCAGGACAGAGGTCATTTACATACATTAATATATAAAGACACAGCCAGTAAAATACATGTTAATTTTACTGAATAAAGTGGGATTGAAAATTCGTCATGCATCAATTTGTTAATATCTTTATAACTGAAAGTCCCTGCGATGGACTGGCGACCTGTCCAGGGTGTATCCTGCCTTCCGCCCAATGACAGCTGGGATAGGCTCCAGCACCCTACCGCGACCCAGAAGGATAAGCGGTTTAGATGATGGATGGATGGATGGATAACTGAAAGTCAGGGCAAAAAATGCGATGGCAGAAACATACAGGCCCTTTAGAAGCACTGTGGGCTTACTGGGATGACAGAGAATATTCACATGTTATAACATGAGGTAGTTGTTAACGAGAGTTTGTAATGTAGTAGTGAATAACAGGAGGACAGAACTGTAACCTCAGCCTATAAAAACATTAACCCTACTTTTATTCTTCATGTAATTTCTTCTTTGTTTTACTGGTAAATGAGAGAAAGGCCTGTCACGCTTCTCAGCGAACTGTATTCTCTGGAAAGCTCCTGAGCGGAAGATCCAGGCTGAGTGTATTTATCATCCCGATGCTCACTTATCATTAGGAGCAGAGAAATGTTTCAGTGAGGAATGTGGAGTATTCACTGGCTCACACTCAAAGCCAAGCACAGACTTGACAGGCTGCCTGTAACGCTGGAGGGAGAGTCGCAACATGAAACAGGCCTACAGGAGCACGTCCTTACACTGGCATTATTAATATTACTGCATATACTAAAGAAAAACAAACCTTTACAAGAGACACAGCTGAGTTATAACCAGGATTGGGATGTAATGGAATACAAGTATTGGGAATATATGCTCAGAATACAGAAATAAAGTGTCTGTATTCAGTCCAAGTTATATTTTAAAGAGCCAGAATTCAGAATACGGTTACTTTTAACATTTTTAGGACAAGACTTTTAAAAACCTCACCCACTAAATAAAAAAATGAACAAAAAACATACAATATTCAAAAGAAACACCATCAATGCCGATTAACTATTTTAGAATCATGAAATTTTAAAACAAGCCAAGTAAACAGCTTTGTTATAAACACTGAAGTTCCTACTAAAGCCTGAGTAGACTGATAAATCAATGTGATGATCAGTTATTAATCTCAGTGTTACTGAGCTCTGCTAAAGCCTGAGTAGACTGATAAATCAATGTGATGATCAGTTATTAATCTCAGTGTTACTGAGCTCTGCTAAAGCCTGAGTAGACTGATAAATCAATGTGATGATCAGTTATTAATCTCAGTGTTACTGAGCTCTGTTAAGCCTGAGTAGACTGATAAATCAATGTGATGATCAGTTATTAATCTCAGTGTTACTGAGCTCTGCTAAAGCCTGAGTAGACTGATAAATCAATGTGATGATCAGTTATTGATCTCAGTGTTACTGAGCTCTACTAAAGCCTGAGTAGACTGATAAATCACTGTGATGATCAGTTATTAATCTCAGTGTTACTGAGCTCTGCTAAAGCCTGAGTAGACTGATAAATCAGTGTGATGATCAGTTATTGATCTCAGTGTTACTGAGCTCTGCTAAAGCCTGAGTAGACTGATAAATCACTGTGATGATCAGTTATTAATTTGCGTTAATAGAGAATTTTCATGAAATGTAGTAACAAAATAATAACATAATTTTTACGTTAAATTAAGTAAAAAGATTTTCCCATGTACTTTAACAAGATGTATTCTAAATGAATTCTGAATACATTATTTATTTTTTTATTGTAACGTCTATGCCAAATACAATATATAGATTATATATTGTAATAGTACTACTAATAATAAGATTATTATTTTGAATACGGTGACCTAACAGTGTCACACAATTAAAGCAGCATTGATTTAATGCATCAATAATAATCATAATCAGAATTGTGAATAGGTGTAATGATATTAGAATTATAGCAATTATTAAACAGTAATAAACACACATATGTGGTGTGTGTGTGTGTGTATATACACCGATCAGGTATAACATTATGACCACCTCCTTGTTTCTACGCTTATTGTCCATTTTATCAACTCCACTTACTATATAGGTGCACTTTGTAGTTCTACAGTTACAGACTGTAGTCCATCTGTTTCTCTGATACTTTGTTAGCCCCCTTTTACCCTGTTCTTCAGTGGTCAGGACCCCCATGGACCCCCACAGAGCAGGTACTGTTTGGGTGGTGGGTCATTCTCAGCACTGCAGTAACACTGACGTGGTGGTGGTGTGTTAGTGTGTGTTGTGCTGGTCTGAGTGGATCAGACACAGCAGTGCTGCTGGAGTTTTAAAAACTGTGTCCACTCACTGTCCACTCTATTAGACGCTCCTACCTTGTCAGTCCACCTTGTAGATGTAAAGTCAGAGACAATAGCTCATCTGCTGCTGCACAGTTTGTGTTGGTCATCCTCTAGTCCTTCATCAGTGGTCACAGGACGCTGCCAACAGGACGCTGTTGGCTGGATATTTTTGGTTGGTGGACTATTCTCAGTCCAGCAGTGACCCTGAGGTGTTTAAAAACTCTGTTGTGGATGGATGGATTGATGGGTGCTGCTGTGTCTGATCCACTCAGACCAGCGCAACACACCACCACCACGTCAGTGTTACTGAAGTGCTGAGAATGATCCACCACCCAAATAGTACCTGCTCTGTGAGGGTCCATGGGGGTCCTGACCACTGAAGAACAGGGTAAAAGGGGGCTAACAAAGTATCAGAGAAACAGATGGACTACAGTCTGTAACTGTAGAACTACAAAGTGCACCTATATAGTAAGTGGAGCTGATAAAATGGACAATGAGTGTAGAAACAAGGAGGTGGTCATAATGTTATGCCTGATCGGTGTAGATACAATATGAACTATATTATAAGTTAATTATTTATTTTGACTTTATTTTGTCCTTTTGAATAATTTAGAAAGATGTGCTCTTTAACGAATAACTCGGTCTCTCAGTGTTCAACTTGCTTTAACACCCGTTGATTTAATGGATCAACTAACGCTGAAGCCCCTGCTGGAGCGGAGCGTGTGAGAGCAGGGAAATCTGGGTAATGTAGGCCTCTCGATGGCGTCACAGAAGACCATATGATCCAGTAGTATTCATGAGGCGCCCCCTGCTGGCTGAAGTTGGAATTGTGTTTCACATGACGCTGCACGTTTATCCTCACACCGGCAGATGGCGCAAGAGATCAAAAGGTGAGAACCATCCAGTTCTGCTGAAAAATTAATAGCAAGACATAAATAAAGGAAGAAAATTAGACAGTTTTTGCGTTTACTGTTTATTTTGGAATCATAATAATAACAAAAGCAGCAACTTAACGTTAAATTAGAACTGATTTGACGAAGAGAGGGATTGTAGGAGTGTTGCAGAAGGACTACAGTCAGAAAGCTGGTTCACACCGGAAATAAGCCTTTATGGATATTTTATTTTGCACTTTCAGTTCGTTTCTTTTGATTAAATTGTGGTTTTTTTGCGTAATATTAAATAATTGCACAATTATAATCATAATTGTGAATAAGTGTAATAATACTATGATTATAACGACTAATATATAATAATAATGATATATATATATATATATATATACATATATATATATGTATAATCAATGGGTAACACGGAAAAGTTAATTTAATTATTTTACTATAACTATGCATTTTGATTCTTTTGATTTTTAGCATAAATATACTTTATATATTCTAATATATAATATATATACTATATACTATTTATAATGATATTAATCAATATTAATCAATCCTGTTTATGCTGTTAGATTTTATGTAATAATAGTAAGATAGTAAGTTATGCAAGTTAAATCAATTATATAGATATTATATAGACTATATTATACATTAATGATTTTATTATGGCTTTATTTTGTCCTTTTGATTCATTTACAAAGATGTGCTTTTTAACGTATGTAATAATGTTAATAACATACCATTTAACTGCCTGTTATATAATAAATCAGTAGCAATAAACAAAAATTAAATAATAATAACCAATAACTAACAATCACAACTTACCATAGTCATAATGTCAACATTACACCACAGCGTGTTGTGATGAAATGCAGGAATATATCATTTGTAATCACATACAAACTTAAAAAGATGGTTCTTCAAGGGTTCTTTAGGAAAGAAAACGGTTCTATATAGACCTATGAACACTCAAAGAACCCTTTGCATGATTTAAAGGTTCTTTCCATCATGAAAGCGTTCTTCAGGTTGATGGAGAACATGTTCTATATAGAACTTTTTCGAAAAGGGTCCCATGTTGCACCAAAAAGGGTTCTTTTATTGTCACAAGCTCAACATCGTAACAACAGCAGAACCAGCTATGACATGCTCTCCATCAACCTGAAGAACCCTTTTGCCATGCAAAGGGCACTTTGAGTGGTTATGGGTCTATATAGAAACATTTGCTTTACTAAAGAACCTTTAAAGAACCATCTTTTTTAAGGCTGTAGAACAATTTCATGCTTAAAAAACATGGTTCCATATAGACTGGAGCCAAAAAGTGTTCTTCTGTTGTGTGTTGTTGTTTTTGAAAATGGTTCTGTATACCGCCGAAAAGGTCCTTCTATTGTTACAAGCTTGACGTAGAACCCATTTTGGTTCTATGTAAACCATAGCTATTCAACACATTCTCTGTCAATCTGAAGAACCGTTTCACCACGCAAAGAACGATTTAAGCATGCAAATGGTTCTATATGGAACTTATGGTTCTAAACAGAACCATTGTCTTCACTAAAGACCCCTTGGAGAACCATCTTTGCGAAGAGCGCCTGAGGTCAATACAGATGATTATTCAGTCCTGTTTATCCGGTTGTTTAGGAGCACGCGTGCGTGCGTGCGCGCGTGCGTCAGAGCGAGTGAGTGAGGGAGGGAGGGGCGCGCGCATCTCTGTCCGTTTGTGCGCGTGGTGGTGTCTCGAGCAGGGCAGGGCTGCAGCGGATCACAATCAGAAGGACTGCCTCGCGCTTCTCTCTCTATCACTCCTTTATTATCACTGTTCCTTTATCTCTCTCTCTCTCTCCTCTCTCTCTCTCTCTCTCTCTCCCTCTGTGTCTCTCTCTCCCCCGTCTCTCTCTCTCTCTCTCTCTCTCTCTCAGTCCGGCCATGACGGCGCCGTTACCGACCGTGTCCTATTCAGCCCCCCTCCTCCTCCTCCTCCGCTGATTTGGCTCCGCGGTGAGACGCGAGGAGAGCGCGAGGATGTCGGTGAAGGCGAAGCAGGGCGAGGCGGTGAAGGTGGTGGTCCGCTGCCGCCCGCTGAGCCGCAGGGAGGAGGCGTGCGGCTACGACAGCATCGTGTCGGTGGACGTGAAGCTGGGCCTGGTGGCGCTGCGGAACCCCGGCAGGGCGACCCCCGACGAGCCCCTCAAAACCTTCACGTTCGATGCGGCGTACGACGGAACGTCCCGGCAGGGCGACGTGTACGATGAGGCGGTGCGGCCGCTCGTCGACTCGGTGCTGCAGGGCTTCAACGGCACGGTGTTCGCCTACGGACAGACCGGCACCGGCAAGACCTACACCATGCAGGGCCAGTGGATGGAGGCCGAGCGCCGCGGCATCATCCCCCGCTCCTTCGAGCACATCTTCACGCACATCTCCCGCTCGCAGAACCAGCAGTACCTGGTCAGGGCGTCCTACCTGGAGATCTACCAGGAGGAGATCCGGGACCTGCTGGCCGAGGTACCTGTGCTGAGGATGTGTATGGGTTCTTTAGTAAACGGAATGGCTCTGTTTAGAACCCAGAGTTAGAACCATTGTATGCTTAAGTGGCTCTTTGCATGGTGAAATGGTTCTTCAGATTGGTGGAGAATGTGCTGTCAATAGTTCTACATAGAACCCCTTTGAAAAGGGTTCTATATAGCACCAAAAATGGTTCTTCAATTGTTATGATATCAACCCTGTTACAATAGAAGAACCCATTTTGGTGCTTTGGAAAACCATTTCATGCTGAAATGGTTCTTTGTATGGTGAAATGGTTCTTCAGATTGATGGAGAATGTGTTGTATATGGTTCCATGTAGGCTAGAACCAAAAGGTGTTCTTCTGTTGTTGTGATATCCAGCTTGCAAAGATAGTAGAATCCTTTTTGGAGCTATTTAGAATCATCAGAAAGCTTCTACATAGAACGATATACAACACGTTCTCCATCAATCAGAAGGACCATTTTCATTATGCAAAGAACCATTTAAGCATGCAAATGGTTCTTAGAGTGTTCATGGTTCTATCTAGAACCATTGCCTTTACTAAAGAGCACTTGTCTTTTTTAGATTGTAGGCTAGAACCAAAACGTGTTTGCAACAATAGAAGAACCCTTTTTGGAGCTAGATAGAACCATTTTCAAAAAGGTTCTATGTAGAACCATATATAGCACATTCTCCACCGATCTGAAGAACCATTTGAGCACTATTTAAGCATGCAACCATTTAAGAATGGTTGTTTCAGTGTTCATGGTTCTATCTAGATCCATTGCCTTTACAAAGATCCCTTAAGGAACCATTTTTTATAAGTGTGAACTGCCCTGCTAGAAGAACCAGCATCAGCAAAACCAGTATATGTTGTGTTTTGGATGCTGGTGTGCTGGTCAACCAGTATGACCACGCAGGGTGACCAGCTAAACCGGCACCAGACCAGAATAAACCAGCTCAGACTGGTGCTGCTCTGGTGCTGGTTGACCAGCATAACAGCATCTAAAACAAAACATGCTGGTTGTACTGTTAATATAATGTAAACACAGACCGTTTCTTTAAACTGAGTGATTGCTTGAGTTAATTAAACAAACTGAAGTGCCTTTTCAGGTCACACGTTTAAGAATTTTTGACATTTTTAACGTGAATGTTTTATATTAAATGTAATTCCCATCGCTGTTATAAGGAAACCTCATTTTGTTGTTTCTGTTTATGTATTTGAAAACACCAGCTGCTGTTTACGTCATGTCAACCTTTCATGACCAATAGAAATAGTTCAAAATGTCCTAAAATTTCAGAAGTCCATTGATTTTGTGGCCAATTAACCTTCTTGTACGTTCTTGTATAAATGAACATTGTGGAGAGGCAAAGTTTTATATACGTATGCGTATATATATATATATATACATATATATCTCGCTGTTGTTGGAACAAAACCTTGTATCTCCAAAATGATAATTTTACAGGAGAAGGAAAAAATGTACTGTATTTTAATGTAAGTCAATGGAACCAGAATTTTTTTCAAGTCATTTCTTTTGGTCCACCCTTCATGAAATGTACATACAATGTAACAGGCATTTTCAGGTTACGACAAAAACTGAAAAATGACAAAAATGGAGATACGAGGTTTTCTTCCAACAGCAGCGAGATATATATATATATATATATATATATATGTAAACGTCAGTTTCAACAACTAAAAATAATATCAAATTTTCAGTATTTATTTATTACAACTTTCACTCTTTTTAGGAGACTTAGTTACATTTTCTAAAGAAAAGTCAGGGATATTTTTCCGTTTGTACAGTACTGTACATGTTTTCCAGCTGATTATTGTGATGCTAAAATTCAATCACTGTCCCATCTCTAGTCCAAGGAACAGGGCAGGAAGCTGGAGCTGAAGGAGAGTCCAGAGTCGGGCGTGTACGTGCGAGACCTGTCGTCCTTCGTCACCAAAAACGTGAAGGAGATCGAACACGTGATGAACGCAGGGAACCGGGCGCGATCCGTGGGCTTCACCAACATGAACGAGCACAGCTCGCGCTCGCACGCCATCTTCACCATCACGGTGGAGTGCGGGCAGCCCGGGCCGGACGGACGCAGCCACATCCGTGTGGGCAAGCTCAACCTGGTGGACCTGGCGGGCAGCGAGCGGCAGGCCAAGACAGGGGTCAGAGGGGAGCGCCTGAAGGAGGCCGCCAAGATCAACCTGTCGCTCTCGGCTCTGGGTAACGTCATCTCGGCGCTGGTGGACGGCCGCAGCTCCCACGTTCCTTACCGTGACTCCAAACTCACCAGGCTGCTCCGGGACTCACTGGGCGGAAACGCTAAGACCATCATGGTGGCCACACTGGGGCCGGCCTCATGCTGCTACGAGGAGACGCTGACCACGCTGCGCTACGCCAGCCGCGCCAAGAACATCAAGAACGTGCCGCGGGTCAACGAGGACCCTAAAGACGCGCTGCTGAGGGAGTTCCAGCAGGAGATCGCCCGGCTCAAGGCGCAGCTGGACCGGCGTGGAATGCTGACCGAAAGGAAGAGGTACGGTGGGCACGGTTCTCTATCGAGCATGACCTAGTAAGGAGTAGGAATGAGATAAATAAGTAGTGGCCACAACTTAGTAAGGCGTGGGAATGAGATAATTAAGTTGTGGCCACGACTTAGTAAGGTGGGGGAACGAAATCTTAATCTTAATCTCTAATTTGTGGCCACGACTTAATTATCTCCTTCCCACGCCTTACTAAGTAGTGGCCACGCATTGGGATCTCGCTCCCATGCGATAATATGTCGTGGTATATTAAACGTATTACGTGTTATTTAGTTTGTACCAGACGTCACCAGCTGGGCTCCGTAGTTATCAACATAAAAAAAACATACAGTCGTGTGCAAAAGTGTGGGCACCCCTGGTCAAGTGACCTGTTGTTGATTTCCTAAGTGAAAATAAGTTAACAGATCCTTTTAATGCACAGTTACTGTTTATGTGCTGAATTTAACATAATGGGGAAATAAAACTAAAATGTGGGCTGTGCAGAAGTTGTGAAGCATTTTATATTACATTGTATGTTTTCCAATATGTCAAACTTAACAAGCAAATATATATTGTGCACTAAAATTCGCTGTTGTTCTCTGTAGAGGGTTTGTTTACTTATTTCCGCTTAGAAAAACAACAAAAATGTTTTTTTTTGTTCAAGGGTTTGCGGACAGTTTGCTGGCGTGCAAATCTCTGGTCTAACAATAAGTACGCTTACATGCACTCAATAATCCAATCATAATCGGATTTCTGCAGTTATCCAATTATTCATATGGTCATACCGTACACCATACTCCGATCTAGAAATCCGATTAAGAAATCTGATAAAGAGAGCTGGATTTTAGCTCAGTAATCAGATTTCTCAGTCTGCACATACACGAGATCAGACGGTGGATGTTGTGAGACGCAGCAAAACACTTTTGAAGCGGCGCTGAAACCGAACACGAAATAAAGAATTTAAATAATCTTCATCTTCTAGACGATGTCTGTTCATATTTTCAGGTAAAGCGGTGCGATGTTTTAAAAAAAAGCCACGGCATTAAGTTTGAGTTTTACGTTAAATTTTACATCACGTCTTCTTCTGTGAGTTTATTGGCTGGTTGTAAAGCAGAAATCCGATTACCGTCTGACTCATGTAGGTCCGGAGTTTCCCCATTATCTGATTACTCAAGTAGATGTAAACGTGTTGATCATATTACTGACAAAATCTGATTTTCTGCAGTTATCAGATTATTAAGTGCATGTAAACACGCTCAATGTTTCGATTAGCGTTCTTTAGGAAACAACGTATCATGAAGTGTCAAATTTCAAGTCAACACGATTCATTAAATTTGATTATTTTGGTACAACATGCTAATATAGTTCCTTCAGTGGTTCCAGCCTCAGCTTGGGAAGGAGAAGCACTAGCTTGAGTGAATCTTAGCCAACTATCTGTGCTGTCGAGGTATCTGACATTAATGTTAGATCGTACAGTTAAGGTTATGATTATGGTTACTTCCTTCCCCAACCATGTTAGCTACTCTAAATGAACCTTTCATAATTCAAGGGTTAAATTAAAGTTAGAGATAACATTAGCTACCATTTCAGCCATCCGAGAGAGCAGAGCAGGTGTACTATAGGTACATAATTGCGTAAAGTTAGCTACAGTCTCAATCCCAGTAGTTAGCTAGCATGCTAACACACACTTAGTTATTCAGCTTTATTCTGTACGTACAGGAAAACCTCTGAAACTGTTTATTCGTGCTAACAAAATTTTACCTAACGATAATATGAGCCACCTCATCAGCACTTAAGCAAGCTAGCTAACTTGGGTAGCTCACAAGCTATTTGACTGACTTCCATCCAAGCTTTTACCAGTCAGGGCAGAGAGTGTGCTACAGTTAGCATAATGTAATAATGTAAAGGTAGCTACACTCTCAACCATGTTAGCTAGCATGCTAACACACACTTAGGCCTAATCCCATTTCACCCCTCGCCCCTACCACTTAGCCCTTAGCCCTCTGTTTTGCACGTTCACGTCTAGGGGTAGGGTGAAGTGCTGGGGCTACATGATCCTCCAAACGGAGGTTTTTCAGAGGCTCCAAACAGAGAGATATGAGAAAAAAGAATAACCGGCAAGATGGCTGCGCAAGCGACCAAAGAAACCCACAAATGTGAGAATTTTCTAGTTAAAAAAATACGATAACTATTGTATTATCTTAGTTTAATGTCGTTTCAATGTATTATGGTCGTTTTCTTCATAACAAGCACAAAAATAATAGCATGCTAATGTCTCGGTAGCTAGCTAACTTTCCCATTCCACCTTAACTAGTCCAGCAGTTCTGATGCCAGGAGCGCCAGAATGTAACTGCTGCACTATTTAAGGTGGAACGGGAAAATTTGAGCAAGAAGCTGGCGAATATCTGACTTCAGCTTTATATTACCAAAGAATTGGAGTGGGTGATAATAAATAATTGCCCCCCTCTTTGAGAGCATTTGATGCACTAAATGTAACTAAAGCCCAGCAGTGAGGAGCTGAACTTTCCCTTCTCTGCTGTCACTGAAGACGCGCTGGGTCACCTAGTAGGTTGTTAATGAAGGCATGGTTTTTTTTGTTTTTTGTTTAATTTGAGGGTTGTCCCATTTCGTAGGGCAGGTTTTTAACCACTACCCCCTGTAACTCAGTTCCAAGGGGTTAGGGTGACACTCGAAAACAAGGGGTAGGGGTAAAAAGATGAAATGGGATTGGGCCTTAGTTATTCAAATTTATGTAAATTCTGTAACTACAGCCAACCTCCGAAACAGTTTATTTGTGCTAAGAAAAAAAAATTACATATTACATAAAGTTTGCTAGATTCTCAACCACGTTAGCTGGCCAGCATGCTAACATGGTTGAGTGTAGGTAACCTTACCTCTCACCCTAACCTAAACCTTTTATTTATTTTTTTGAAAGAACAATTTAGAGTAGCATTTTTATCTAACGTTAATGTAAGATAACCCAATGTAGCAAGATGGTTGGCTAACGTTTGCTCAGGCTGAGGTTTTGCCCGGCTAGGGCTGGCCTGCAGCTGGATACTACTGGAATGACCACAGGTTCTGTAAGAGCAGTATTTATTATTATAGGGTGCTTCTGTTTTTAAGTAAGTTATGAAAATTCTCAGGCTGTTTTCTAGCCTGGAGATCGGTCTGGATGTCAGATGGTCATTTTGACAGATTTTAACTGCGATATGGCTTCTAGCATTTTCATTACACCATTAAAAAATATTGCTTGTCACACAGATGGAGCTTTGAATGATGGCTTTGCTGTGACAGGGGATAAAGGAATGAAATGGCAGAGGGCATAATGGTTTAATTAGTTGATTAATTAAATAATAGTCTAGATCAGACCAAATATATTAACACGATTTAGAATAGAATTAACCTTTTGTTGTAGCTCTATTATCAATAAGAACGTCATACGACAGTATTCGGTGTTAATATTATTTATGGTTGCGCTGCACCCCTGCAGTTCACCCAAAATCACACCTGAAACTACTGATTAGCACTAAGTCCTGTGTTCACCACGCCAGCCTGGTGAATAACAGAACTAGAGTAAAAAGTATGTTAAACTTAAAGGCTCTTATTGCGAAGTTGTTTTCCATTATCGTGATACTAAAATGCCATTGTTGTCCCACCACTAGGAAGAGAAGGCTCAGGCAGCTGAAGAAGAGCGAAGAAGGGGACGAGGTGGAGAACGATGAGGAAGATGAGGATGATGATAATGATGATGAAGATGCTGAAGACGCTGAAGATGATGACGAGGAGAGTATGGAGAAGGAGGCGCAGGAGTACATGAAGGAACAGCAGCAGAAGCTGGAGCGGGAGAAGGAGGCCATCATGGACGACTGCTCGCTGGTGACTGAGGAGAAGCAGAAGCTTCTGGAGGAGAAGGAAAGGATGATGGGAGACCTGAAGAAGGAGCAGGAGGCCACCGCGCTCCTCACCGCCAAGTTCAAGGTGTGTATCTGCTGGTATGAGACACGTGAGGTACGAGTGAGTGATTGTGTGGTTTATGGATGAACGAACCTGTTGTTTATTAGAACGTTTGTTTCCATTTAAAGACACACTCATCAGTTTTGGTGGAAGTTAGCTGTAGCGAGCTGTTTGCTACGGAAATCCGGAGAGGCCATGAGCTGTTGCTGTAATTTTCTGGATTGTTATCTTGAGATAACGGGTTACTTATCTTGTGATCTCAAGATAACATCTTTGTCATCTTTGTTATCTTGAGATAACAAGATAATTAACTCATTATCTCAAGGTAACAACTTTGCTATCTTGAGATCACAAGATAATTAATTCATTATCTCAAGGTAACAACTTTGCTATCTTGAGATCACAAGATAATTAACTCATCTCAACATAATAACTTTGTTATCTTGACATAAAAAGATAATTAACTTGTTATGTTGAGATAAGCTGTAGTGAGCTGTTTGATATGAAAGTCTGGAGAGGCCATGAGCTGTTGCTAACAATTTCTGGATTGTTATCTTGAGATCACAAGCTAATTATCTTGTGATCTCAAGATAAAGACTTTGTTATCTTGTTAGTGTAAGCCATCATAGATGGAGTTTTAGCATGATTTCTGCCATTGTTTCTTTGAAGAACTAACCAGCAATTATAGGGCCTCAGCACAGCTACCTAGCTGTATAGTGAAGAGGCTAGACTATGGCTCCTGTTTCAGTGACTGACAGGCCTCCTTTTACTGACTGGTTGGACGTTGGTGGTCCACATTATTCGTTTTTCTTATGTTTAGAGAACTTAAGGCAGCCACTGATAGCAGATTTGTTCCTTTGAGTGTATGTTTCATTGACAGCTGCTGAAATGTGAAGATTTTGCCAAATACCACAAGTTAAAATCGCTGACCCCACCTTTAACCACACTTTAGGCAGTATCTTTATTCAGTGATCTGCTGGACAGGTCGTCTGGACAACATGTGTCCAAGTTACATGTTAACAGGGCTATCCATGCACACGTTCGTGTGAAAATCTGAAGGCCAAATTTACGCACTTCAATCCTGCATGTACTTCCAAAGTCATTAGCCACGTTTACATGCAGCCTAATAATCCGATAATAATCCAACTAATAGCTCAATCGGAATAGAATATGTCCATGTAAACGCTGTTCGGAATACACTTTCTATCCGATTGATTGAGGTGGGTAATCCTGTAAATAATCCGTTAAATGGAAGAATAATATCTGTGTAAACGCCTGTATCTGATTACATTCCCTATCGGAAAGTTTAAGTCCATTCTGATCATGTTCGTCGCGTCATAGTGAAAGTTTATACCGTTCAACATGGCGGAGCAGAAACTGGTCTGCAGAAGAGACGAAGTTCATGCTCTGATCTTTAAAAGACGGCGGTGGGACGGACGTCCAGCTTATGTGTCTCAGAACACGACGTCTTCCTCTCGGCCTTCTTTAATAACGACATGTGAAGGACGTTTTCCTGAGTCTGACATCATTTTAAAGCAGTTAAAAACACAAGCACTGCTCACTGCTGCTCATCTCACTCTGACTGGACTCACGTGATAACGTTTACTCTAAGCGCTACTCCACGCATGCGCGTCATTTTGGATCGGATTACTTGTAGTGAGCATATAAACAAAGATTTTCCATCAAATTGTTGAACAGAGTGTGCGTATAAACACCTCAGTCTGAATCTGCAATCGGATTGTATTCATTCGGATTGGCCAAAATCTTTGCATGTAAACACAGCCATTGTCAGCATCGTTGGAATGGGAGCTGAATCTCTTTGTAGATGAATCTGTGAAGAAGTAAATGAGTTAATGCTTTAATGGAGTTCTGTTTAGGCCTGAGTAATTAGTAGGGTTTTGCTTTGAAGCTAAAACTGAGGGTGGACATTCAAGCCTCCACAACAGCTTTTTCTAATTTGACCTGTATTCTCATTGCATCAGTAATGAAAAGCCCAGCATTCATCATATCCTGAAGAGTCTGACATGAAACAGGGCTTTTGAAGAGCAGCTTAAAAGGGAATTCCTATGTTTTTTTTTATTTCTGCATAATTCAGTGGTCGAGATGTAAACAAACTCATTCAGAGTGGTTTGAAATGGTTCATTGTGGAGAAACTCTGATAGCAAGGATAGTGGACCACTGTCAGCCCACTGTTGGCAAAGCTGGCGGTCCAGTGGCGTTTTGCTCAGCGTTTTCCGGGTGGCCCGCCGGTGGTTACGCAGAGTCATAGACAAAATTCCACATATAATCGCTCATTTTCCATTTACAGTCCAGTTTACTGATTTTCCTTCCTTCCTTTCTTTAGTTATACTTTGTAAATTTGTTTAGTAAATAATTTTAATCCAGCACAGTGACAGCAACAACGTTTTCTATAAAATCATTTTATGTCAGGCCTAGTCATTATTTTTTTCTCTCAGTTGTTTGTAATATTTGTCTAAGTTTATTTTCCCAAATAAAAGGCTCTGTGAATTTAAAATCTGTTTGAGAAGATTAAAAACTAGTTAGAGCTTGTTTGCAGGAAATAATCTGGGTGGTCCGAGGGTGGACCAGCAGTGGCAAACAGTCAGTGTGGTGCCGACCTTATTAAGCTAGTGGAATGATATATACTCACTATCTGGGAACTTACAGATGCTTTTTTATTTACAGTGGTGTTGATAGGAACCAGGGGTCGCAATGTCTACAGCACAAATGTAGCCATTTTATTTACTCTCCAAAATCAGTGATGTTGTGGTAAAATAGTAGTAAATTTGGAAAAATTCTTTAGGGTTTCTTTTGCCTTATAACACTCTGTATAGAGGTGGGTGATATGGCAAAAATATATCATGATACTTCAATAAATATTCAAGATACACAAAACATCACAGTATCTACTTTTTCAGACATCTGATCTGTCGAAGTTGTGCTATAGTTGCGTAATTACATAGAGTTAACTTCCCTCTCAGCCATATTAGCTAGCTAGCATGCTAACACTCAACAGTGTTAGCATGCTAGCTAGCTAATACAGTTGAACATGTTGAGGTGCTAGTTAATATTTAGTTTAAAATGATTGTTTTGCAAAAAGGTAAATCTGGACAGTTTTTGCCTCAAATGTAGTCGATTAGCCAAGATAGGTTTAGCGCTTCTTTAGTTTTCCACTGGAGCTACAATGCTAGTGTGGCTAACCAGTAATGGAAGCGTATGCGCACCAGTTTGCATTGTCCAAGCTTTAAATTAGCTGGACAACAAACATGTCTTGGCTGATTGATTTGATTTGAGGTAAACGTGACTTTCTGTGAGACTTTCATTTTAATGTATCCACATTCTTGATAGGAGATCCTGTAAAAATACTGTAGTCCAGTCTGGTAGCCCGGCCGCCCTGAGTAAAAGTAAAGATTATAACAGATACATATAACAGATATATAACAGACTGGCAAACAATAATCCATAATCCTTTTATCCGTCAAACATGTTATTAATATTTGCATAAAGATTACGTAATATATTATAGAGTTTCAGACTGGAAATGAGGGTTGACATAGCGATATGCTTTAAGCTGAGAGAGAGAGAGAGAGAGAGGGAGGGAGGGAGAGAGAGAGTGGGGGTGGGGGTGGGAGGAGAGCTTTTAGCCATGAACAAGCACTGTTAGCTATAAGTAGAGCCTGAAAGTGGGTTATTGAACGTTCTTTGGCCTGAAATATGGGACACGCTGAAAGTCAGCTGGAAGATGAGGTCTGCAGCCTGAGGGATGCAGCACTGCTAAAGCTCTGATGTCGCTCAGTCGTCTTTGCTTCGGACACGTATTGTCGTCTCCGAAGTCGTTTCCTGTCCTACTCATGCTTTAATTTGGAAAAAAAAAGTTATTAATTGTTATAAAAGTTATTATTGTTAAATTAATAACTGTGCTGAAAAAGACACAGCTTGTGCTTTTGCTGGTGGTCTTAGCTGGTCTTCGAATTTCTAGGTGGTTGACAAGCTGGACATCCAGCTGGACGAGATGAAAACATATCCTAGGCTGTTGAACCAACTTAGCTGGGTGTAGGACGGCTCGATTATGGCAAAAATCATAATCACGATTATTTTGGTCTATATTGAGATCACGATTATTTAACACGATAACTCATTGACTTTGGAAACATCTTGCATTTATTAAACTTTAAAGAAAACTTTCTTTGTGTTTTTGATGGTGGAATTCCTTCAGCTTTAAATATAATTCATCTGAAAAACAAATGTAAAAACATAAGTATGAAAAAGACAAATGAATAATATGTAATATAATTATATACACATTTTAAATAAATAATATAATAATAATAAACAAAAATAAAGCCTAGCTGGTTGACCAGCTGCCCTGCGATTGACTGGAGACCTGTCCAGGGTGTATCCTGCCTTCTGCCCAGTGACCGTTGGGAAAGGCTCCAGCATCCTGATGGAAAAACATGGTCAAGCATGTAATCTAATGCTCACCTTCATCTCCCTCACACAAACACCAACCCAACACAAACAGGGAACCAGCTTTACCCTTTGAAGTGGCCCTTATTAATCAATTAGTGATTGATTTAATGCAGACTGACTTTCCCTGCAGCCTGTGTGTGAGTGAGTTAGTGAAAGATAAGCAGAGATAAAAGGAGTGTAACAGAATTGTGCCGTCTGTTCATATTTCCTCCTGCTTTGATCACCGAGACACATGGTTGCCGTATCAGAGCAGCGAGGCCTCAGTGACGGCGCCGGTCAGCTAAAATAACACACATACACAGTACTGAAAACACGCCTTTATTCACTCTCAGAGGGAAACGTGTTGAATCGGCTGTTGTAAAGGGCGCTTACTGTACGTCCTCTCTAATTGTGCTCCCTGGCGTGTGGGTGAACTGGGCCGTGTAGCGCGTGAATCAGCGGTAATGAACTGAATTTCCTGACTAGGCCAAACAGAGCACATTCTTCCACTCCTTTGTGTTTACAGTTGTGATTGGCTGGCTTAAAAGGCTGTCGGCCAATTATAAATAAAGCCC